CAATTCGTCGTCTCCGATCCAGAAATTCTTCAGAAAATTCATGTGCTTCGGAATCCGGTGCCAATACGTGAAAATCTCATTCAGATAACCCTGATCTCCGCCATTATAGGACTCAATGTCATCCACATGATCCATCAAAAGCTTGAATGTACAATTCGACGGCTCGATCACCATTACGCCGGAATTGAATAGGGTTCCGTTATTGCCCGTGGCGGAAATTTGGGGCATTTTGAATAAGAAATCGATGTTCCGTAGGATGAGTAGATCGGCGTCTACGAAGATGATTTTGTCGTAATCGGTGAGCTGCCATAGCCTGAACTTGCTGTAGTTCCACTCGTTGTAGGCGTCCTTTTCGGCTTTCGGGTTTCGGATTCGTTTTATTGTGCGCACTTTCCATCCGGAGGATTGTAGACCGCGCCGGTGGTGGTCGCCGATCGATTCATCGACGAGGATCACGAGGTCGCGTGTGGACCCCGACATGCGGATGCTCTGCGCAGCCGCTATGGCCCCGCAGACGTAGTCGTTGGCCGAGTGGAGGATCGTTGTGTACGCCTCCCGTTGCGTTTTTCCCGAGTTGTCGTCCCGTTCTGTTTTTTTTTTAGCCATGATTGTTATTGTTGCAAATTGATATTTACTTAGACGATTACAGACGTAGAGAGAAAAAGCAGGTATATGGGTGCTTTTAAAATTATAGCTTAAAACAGCTAGTATAAGAGAAGCAAAAGTAAAAAGTAAAAGCTTGTTTAGGAAATACCTAAAAAATGATTATGTGCAGAAAAAAGCTCATAATCTATTTCTAAAAGCATTTGCAAACACCACCTAAGTTTATTTTTCTCTATCCATTGCTTTGCCTCATTCATGAAAAATTTCGAAACCTTTTGGAAATTTTAAAACTTTATGATTTGCAAAATTTTCGAAATTGCAAAACATTCGACACTTTTGGAATTGGAATAGATTTCTAGATTCCCAAAATTTTGGAATTTGAAGTAGTTTTGTAGTTTCGAAAAAGAAATTGGATTTGTTTTTCTTTCAAAAATGCTAATTACGATCCATTTCATCCGACTTTCACCTCCAGCTTGTGGACCACACAACTTCTAGTACATATGATGCTCAATAACAAAAATTGCAATTATAAGTAAACAAATAAATTAGGAAAATAATGGAATTAAACTTACCTATGGATGATCCCAATGGAAGTGCAAGCTCACAAGATCCAATCGGCAATTGAATCTTTTGCCTCAACGCATCCAAATCCGGTCGATACAACCACACATTTCCTTCACGCGCAACGAGATCCTTACACGTAAAAAGATTCGGTATAGGAAAGCACCTCGTCACGAAAACGAGATGCACCGGATAATTCCCCTTGAAGGATGCAGCTACGCCAGCAGCCGACATCTGTAAATGTAGCCTAGCCACATCCCTCGACCAATTCCCTTCGTTCCGACAAGGAAGCTTGACCGCAACGAGATCCACCCGTTTCCTCGGGAACTCGACATCTGGCAGAGAAGGGCATTTCGGTAATTCCTCCTCTTGTTCCTCGTCGATCCACTCGGGGTATATGGACTCCCATGTCACGTTTTTGTCGGCGTAGTCCATTTGGAGGACCAAGTGATGATTGGCTGAGGGAGTCAACTTCTTCCATTGCTCGATTTCGCGCTCGTTGAAATTAAGTAGGCCGATTGCTTTGATTTTATTTTCCGATGGGATTTTTTTTAATACGGTTAAAATTTCATCCCATTTTATTTCTAAATTCGATATGTAACGAGTGTCCGAGGCACTTCCCCAGATCCACCTGTTCACAAAATGTTGCCTGCATTAAGTATTATGAGTTCCATATAAGTACAAATTTGGTTTAGATATTTAATTAATGTTTAATTAAATTAAATTAAATGAAAACGTACCGAGAAACGCTGCGCGACGTACGGTTTTGATTGCAAACATTCGGAGACGAAAGAAAGGTGAGAAAAGTGGCTAGTAAAATAAAAAGGAGAACAAATTTCAATGGTGGAAATTTGCAATATCTAGTGGTGCTGCTCTTGCCAAGTTTGAAAGTATCTGTCACAACACTCTTCACTTTTATCCTCTGCAATTTTCTTTTATATGCATCCTCTCTGTTTTTAACAAATATATATATTTAGTATTTACAAAAAGAAAAAAATTAAATAAATAAAAAAATTCATTGTTAAATTAAATGGGATTTTAGAGCTCAAAATTAAGAATTAGTATGTCTCGTTAACCGTGTATAGTTAGTTATATCCGATCCGACCGGAAAGTCGAGTGTAGCTTGTTTAGTTGATTAAAAGAAACAATCTATACCAATATGAAGATGATTTTCCAAGAGTTGTTTGAATGTATATATTCGACACTTAGGAAAAAAGAAAAGGTGATCGAAAAGGGAAGAAATGTATACTCACAGGCGTAGACAGGAATCCATCGAGGCTTCGGAGACTATTGATCATTCATACTCCAATCTGCCAACAGCTTTTATTTTAGAGAGAGAGAGAGAGAGAGAGAGAGAGAGAGAGAGAGAGAGAGGTTGTATGAAGTAGTTTAGAGGAGGGCTCTGTATGGAAAATGGTGGGAAAGGAAGAATAAAGAGCAGGTGGGAGAATAGAGATGAATATAAAAATAAGTAACTTCCATTTGAATTCTTCTGTCTTTAGGTACAAAAATACATGAGCTGTACAAACAACTACCAAATTCAAATCTTTTCTTTTTCTTGGGGAAAACTATATTTATCCTAACATACACTTTTTTTTTATTTTTTTAATTTATAAATAAAAGATTATAATTTGGATATTGTTATTAGAAGATTGACGCCTGTAAATCTCTTATACTCTCTTTCGTTCCTTAATAAGTGTCGGTTTTCACGTTTGCACAAGTGTTACGAATCTGAATAAATGTGGCTTGATATCAGGAAAAACATGTGTTAAAAAAATTAAAATAATATTGATCATATAGTGAGGTAATAAAAGAAAGTTGATACTTAGAGTTGAATTAATAAAAGTAAAATATGAATTAATAAAAGAAAGTTAATACTTACATTTGAATTAATTGAAGTTTTTGTCTGCAATAATAACATTTGAGATCGGTTCCCTCTTAATTGGTAAAAAGGAAAAAAAAAAAAAATCAGTTTGCAGACCATAAAAGAGACGTAAATCACACTAAATTAACTATGTGTGACAAACTCCGCCTACCGATCGTTGGCAATGAGATTCGAACATGAATTAATTAACACAGCTCATTTCCTCCAACCACTAGAATATCCTTGCAGGATAAAAAAAAAATAATAATAATAAAATAAGATGGATTAGGTTAATGAAAAGAATAGTAGGGTTAGCTGTAGATGTATACATCTATAAATTGGTAATAATGATTAGTATGTCATATCTCACTAACCAAATAGGGAAAACGTGATTTTCTTGGTGGGTGCAACATTAATTTGGTTTAATCAATAAGATTAATTCTCCAGTTAACAAAATTAAATTTTGAGACACTAATAAAATAAATTAAACCAATTTTTTGTTCATCTCGTTGTTGTTAAGTGGTCCGAATTGCCATTTGTTTGTAGTAATTGTTACTTAATAAATCAAGTCAAAAGCTAATGTAAGTGTCTTTGAAGAGGTGTTGTATGGATGTTAGCTAGATTTTAGCATGCATTCTATTATTTGCCATTGAAAGAACTCGCGACTCCATTTTAAAATATGTGTCGCTTAACAATTTTTATAATTTTTTACGCACATTAAAAAATTCATCAAATATAGTTGAATTATAGGGAAATAAATAACAACAGCTAAACTAAACATTTGCTATTAAATTTGGTGATAGAAGAGAGTTATTATTTCATAAGAATTCGATTAACAAGCACCTTCCCCTACTAGTACTCCTCAACCGCCGATAGCCTAAATTTTGTCACAATATTATTGGAAAAATGTATTTTCATCTTAATTGTTCATTTTCATTCGAAATTCTCCAACTAAACTGTCTATTTTCAGTCTAAAATCTCCAACTAAACTGTCCATTTTCAGTCTAAAATCTCCAACTAAATGTTCTATTTTCAGTCAAAGTTGTCCAACTAATTAAGCTGCCCCAGAAACTTCTAGAAATTCAAAATATGCAAATTGTAAGTTGTACAAATTATTCTTAAGGGACTTTTAGCTAATTTCCATTTTTTTTTAATATATCTAAGCAAGAAAATGTGGTGGTAGAGATGGAATAATAATTGTGTTTAATACTAGTTCAGATTTACGATTAATCCAACTTAGAGATGGAATGTACACCAATTAATGGACTTTTGTCCCACTTTTTATTATTTATCATCTTATTCTCTATTCTTAAGATAATCTTAGTACTATGAATCATGATAATGGAGAATAAAGGTTGAGATATCTTTTTCTTGAGATGTCATTGGTGGTAGATTGTATGAATACGATATATATATATGGATTTTTGGAAAAACCACCCTTGTGTAATCTCGAATTGCCGAAAAAACCCTTATGTTCAATAAATTGGCAAAAAAACCCCTATGAAAATTAGTCTAAGGCAGTAAGAACCTTGACAGATTATCGTGTGTTATACGCGCGGAATTTGCGGCTGTGTGTGTATTTTTACCTT